AAATGACAAGAGAACCATTTCAGTTAACAATATAGTGGCAATCTAGAGTAACACTGGAGCCACCTACAGGCTTAGCTATGTTAAGGTCGTATGAACATTATGCAATGCCATATGGATCAGATAAAGACTGAGTACATAATTTCAGCAAGAGAACAAACTACTATGTAAATTAAAATCTGTGCAAGTTAAAAACAACGTGGCTGCAGCTAAAGCCAACATCTAATCAGTACATGATAATTTGTAAAAGAGCTCTGCCATAAATAAAAGGGAAAAAAGGAAAGAAGTATAAATCCATCCAAATATAAGTAATTATGGGCCGCTTGGTATGGAGGTGGTTACATGTGCAAAGGAAATGGAATGAAAAATGGAAACCTTCCTGATACGCAGTTCTCATGGAAGCACAAGTTTTCAGTTACCTATAATGACTAGCTAGAGATACAAGTTTCAAATTACAAGCTTTACATTTAGGATTTGAGAAAATAGAATAGCGGCTTGAGGGCTCTGTAAATTCAGTGAGGGAAGGAAATTATTTGACCAAAGCACAACAAATAGGTAGTTGAGTTGTCCTGTGGCTCCTGTCAAAGCAGCTATTTCAATTTGGATGACCAACAGGGTATCCTCGTGACAATATGACCAAAAATAATATCACAAGCATAATGAGGGGAAAAACTTCAAATCATCAAGAACATAATAAATTCAATTTCATACAAAATCATGGCAGAGATTATAGAATAGTCTTAAAAATTACCCAAACATCCTTATTTAAGATCACAGGTTCTCTTTTGGTAATTAACTATCAGACTAATATTTTTAATTTTAGCACTATCTTATGAAACAAGCATAATGAGACTTCAAATGATGACAAACATGAGAAATGCAATTTCATATGAAACAATGGCGGAGATTATAGAATAGTCTTAACAATTGCCAAACAAGCTTATTTAAAATCACAAGCTCTATTCTAGGTAATTAACTATCAGACTAATAGTTTTAATTTTAGCCAAATTTTTCGCTATCTTGTAGAAGCATAATTTCCAACATTTAAAATTTACCCTCTCATCCTCCAGTCCAACAATAGATGCGAATAAGCATGGCTATGCCAACAGTCAACTTCACAGACAGCCATATTTGCATTTACAAATCTCAGTTCACATGCACGTAACAAAAACAATGAGATTACAGCGATTGGGTTGGATATAATATAAGCACAACTAATTACATGTTTGGAGCCATGTGTGGCACAAGACACATTGCGCTTACCTAAACCTTATATGCTCGAAATTTCCAGTCAAAACTTCATCGCACGGATATTTCTTCTATTATAGTTAATTAACATAAAAAATACAATCTATTTAGAGTGTTCAAGTTAGAGGTCCAGTTGATTAGAAGCAGCTAAATAAGTGGGTTTTATATTTAAAAGCCACTGTACTAAGTGAAGAAAGTAAACAGTGAATGCCAGTTGTCTAAAGCATGACGTGGAAAACAACAAAATGCTGTTCTGATGACTTCAATTTGCTAATAAGCTTGATGCATTTATCTTTGCTCACAATTAATATAGGAAAGAAACTGATGAATTAAGATTGTTACCTAGGCAGAGATAATGATTTGTTTTTAATTTAGAATTAACCCTGTCCTTCTGTAAATTAATTCATTTTTTACAAGGAGACGTAATGAACCTAGACATAACATGCAGAAGAAGCTCCTGTCAAATGTGAATTCAAGTTACACGAACAAACTTATGCAAAGTTTTCTGTATAAAACTGATATATGAATTGAAGTTATACCTGCAAGGAAGACTGCCTGCAGCTTAGTTTGTCACAAGACCTCAGTTGTAGTGCCTCTCTTGCTCTAAGCATCTGAACCCAAAAATCTTGTCCTTTATAATCCTTCCACTTAGATGCCTCTGGTAGCAGTTCAATTGAAGGATCAAGAGGATGCTTTGCAGTTTTTCTGATCCAGCTCAGCATTGAAAATAATGCGTCTCGTTTGCGCTTGCGAGAATTAAATTCCTTAACAGGAGCTTCTGAGTTCAAGGTAACAGGATCGTTCTCAACACTTCTACAAAATTTCAAGTCGGCATCACCAGGCGTACTGTGGAGATTCTCGCATATAGGAGGTTGATTTTTGTTGTCCAACAAATTCGTTTCACTCTGGTGATTAATCAAGTCAATGTTGCTTCTCATTTTACTTGATTGCAGATGAAAGGATACATCATCCTTCAACTTGGCGTTGCCACATAATAAATCTCTAAACTCATTTACTAGCTCTGGCGGCTCAAACTTAAAATCCATATTACACCCACAATTTCCACTTTTGAAATTATTTCCTCCACGAGTTTTGCTGAGCCATCTTTCAAACTCATTCAAATACTTGTTATATACTAATTTCACCGAAGCCAAAAGTTTAGGATTCAAACCCAATTCCTTAGTCACAAAACCCCACAATCCTTTCTCCGACACCGAAGCATACCCACCTCTTTCCTTCACAGACAAGAACAGTTTGTATAAATCCAACGATTGACCATCACCAAGCATTACAGGTACAGGACGAATAGTGCCTCCAGAATTCTTCTCCTTTATACAAATTGATAGAAGTTGATGAAACAAGCACTCTAGTTTAACTTCAACATCAAGGTGATCTGTAACAACCTCAGCAACGTTCAGGCAACAGTCATTACCCTGATGTCCTCCAACAGTTTCAAGACAATCTTCGGAAGATCCGTTTGTGAAACCTGACCATCGTGCCATATGCTTTGGTTTCCTACTTCTTTGTTTGTCAACCCACGGCCGGGATCGAGAAAGCTTCTATTTTTCCATTCCTCAAAATTTAATGAACCAAGTTAGAACTAACAGACTGAAAGGTGGCCAAGAGAGAACAATAACAGGCACCCGCAAGGGGGTGAAGTGGATGCACAGGTGGCTAACTAGTTCGCCGATTTACCTCGTCCCAGATCATGAACGAAGGGGTGCGGCTCAGACAGCGAACTTGGAGCCCAAGTGCATGGTTTATTGATCAGGAAACGGGGGCCCAATCACGAGGGAGATGCCAAGAATGCAATGAAAATGCAGAGAAGGAGAAAAAGGACGAAAAGGGAAAACAAGAAGAAAGCTTCGACAAGTAGCAGATTAACAGAGAATTGTCCGAACAAAACCCCAAATATAGGACCTTTCCCCCCTCGCTGGCCTTGGGGACTCCTCTTGCCCCTGGCTTGTGATGCGCAAGAGGCATTCATTGCCAAGGTCGGTAAATAAACCAATGTCCATATGAATTTTTTTTTTATTAAAAAAATACCTTTAATTCGTTAACTTTAGATAAATTTTCAGTTTAGTCTCTTAAGTTAAAAAATAAAATATTTTTTAGTTTTTTAATCTTAAACCTTATATAAAATTAAATAATTAGATATATATTACCTTTTTTTTACATCACTATTTACGTGAAAACAGTGGAAAATATGAGCGTGCCTTTTCTTTTAATCAGAATATATATATGCGTCTGGTTAAAAATAAAATACACACACACGCACACATGTATATGACTGTGTATGAGGACGCATGAAATGTATCAAAAAAAATGAGGACGCATGAAGAATGTAGTTGGCATTGGATTTTTCGTATTTTTATTGAAATTACTTTTTATCTTTATCACTTATTTTTAGCCCCTCACTTCTAATTATAGGATTTTTTTTTATCTAAAAAATGTTAAGCAAGTTTTTTTTAAATAATGTGTTAATAATATATGATGTTGGCAAAAATAAAAGAATAATCCTCCGGTCCTTAATATAAGACCCAATTGTTGAATTGACTTTGGTCCTAAATATAAAACACATTTCTCATATTTATCAATTTTCTCTAAATTACCCCTATAGATACTCCCTCAACCATAATCAAATAGGAGAGGAAGAGTGGGTATTAAAAAGATGATTATGGTATTTTAGAACAAACGTGTCACATTTCTTATAATTAACTAACTTACCTAACTTCCTTAATCTAATTAAATTAGTTAAATGGATCTTATATTGAGGATTGAATGAGTAATATATGATATTTTTAAAAAAAAATCTTCTCATTTATTAGACTATTGATCGGTATTCACTGTTCGCTTAATTTTTTTTAAAAAAGAGCGCATTAAATAGAAATATTTTTAAAAAATAATTAGCGTGATAAATAAAATTATATCTAATCTTGCACTAAGAATCAAACCGAACTCTTCGGTAACATTGTAGGAGTATATTTTTGTTCTATCAAATTTTCTAATAACTATTAATTTTGACTTCCATAAACTGTATGAAACTATAAATATCTTCAAATCAAAAAAAGAACGTCCAACAGACAGTAGTACTAGTTCAAGCTTTTTGTGAACAAAACCTATTTTGAAGAGTTATTAGTACTACTAATTAGAACCAGTAATATTCAAGTATAACCCTAGATATGTTTAAAAGAAAAAAGATAGAGAGAACATGGGTCGGGACAGCAAGGTAATTTGATGGTGCTAGAGAATCTAAATTTGTATGTTAGTTCTTGGTAAAAATATCTATGATTGAGTCTGTTATTTTTTAGTCCAAAATTCTAAAAAATATTTGAACAAAATTTAAAATATAGGACTAAGTGACTAACGCACCTTTGTGAAACAATTAGTAAAGTGAGTTTTTATAACATTCTAAATTTTAAACCTAGAAATACAAGAATTAGTATAAAATGAACAAACCAGTAAATCTTTTTTGGCAAAAGTTTTAGAAGTTTCTTAAAAAGACAGAGATTCCTAATGACTAAATTATAAAGCGAAAGTTTTTTGGGATTGAGAAAAGAAGAAGTGAGAGACTCGGATGAAGTCTTCAGACCCATGAATAAGAAACAGAGAGGAATGTAGGTTAAAGGTTATATTAGATGCGTGAATTATGAAATTAAGCCAAACTTGGAGCAAAATCATAATTTTGTATAGTTTTGGATTGGAAAGGACAAATGAAAATTATGTCTGAAAATTTCACAAAAATTCCTAAAAAAATGAAAAATAGCATGCCAAGGCCTGTATATGAAAAAAAATGATAAAAGTGCCCTTGAATTAACTTTAAAAGAATTTTAAATATTATGACTCATTTTGAGGTATAAAGCTAGATTTAATTGTTTGAATCGAGGCTTCAGAAAAGCAAGTAAAAATAGGAATTCATGAGTTAAGAGGCTGTAAAAAATTATAAAATTAATTTCGTCCCTAGAAGGCTAGCAGAATGACTTTGAGAATATTTAAAACTCAGTTATGCCATTTAAGGGCATTTTACGAAAAATTTAAAAAAAAAAAACCTACCCGATAAAACTCATAGATTTTCTCCAAAATAAAATGAAGTTTTATGATGTAGTTGGATGAATTTTTAAAGCTCTGAATTGAATAAAATGCTCCAGTTAAATATTAAATAATTTGTGTCCCTTAAATAGAAGACAAAATCAAAGAAAATATCTCAAGGCAATCATGAGGGTGCTGAGTCAGCATGCTAAATCGCCAAATGCAATTATGATGCCTTTGAGTCAGCATGCTGAGTCATCAAAAGATATTTATAGACAGTAGAAAAATCAGAATACAATACGGATACGTTTTAGACAGGACTGTCTACCTAATACAGTAAAATTTCTCCTGCATGACTTAGTGAGGCTATATAATCTGTCAATGGAGCCAACTATTTTCTTCTATACTCCTTTGAGATGATGTCATATGTAGACTTATTTAAAATGAGAAAAAAGTGTCAGAACGTGTCCCTATAGTCTCGGGTAAGTCAGGACCCGAAAAAGTACTTGATATGGTACAGAATGACAAGATAGGTAGAGGAATATCTAGGGACTGCATTTTGCTCAAATTTTCTATTAATTTCTTCTATATTTTAATATCAAAATGATGAAAGGACATGCAAGGGATTATGTATACGGTTAGATGGGAGGAAAAGATATTATGTGTACAGTTGGATGAAAGACGAGATATAAAGAAAAGACACAGGGCATGATGATGTAAGCATGATGTCATGAGAACACATGTTATCACAAGACAGAGGCAAAATGGATGGCCAAAATTAGATCTTACAATTTCTTTATCAATAGCTAGGATTTCATGTTGGTGTTTTTAAATTCCCCCTCACCTCCCATTTGGCCAAAGTTTCAACCAACTTGAAGGAAAAAGAAAGAGAGGCTGTGAAGAAGAGGAAGAAGGAAGAAGAGAAAGAACTCTAAATCCCATGCAAAATCAGGCTCCAAAACAAGATATGTTTATGATTATTGATGTATTTTCTATTATCTTTGTTGTTATTGAGCATGGTTATGGGTTTTGATGGTTTTTGGAAGCTTGAAACCTAAAAAAAAATATGCTGCATGAAATTCTTAAGTTAAGAGGAAGATGAAATTAATGTTAGAATAATATTTACAAGTTTGAAAAGAACAAAAATCAAGTGGTTTTATATTGAAATTGATTAAATTTTATGATTATGCAACTTAAAGAACTGTTCGACCAAGCTGGGTTCTATCGCTTAGGTTCTGGTAAAGATTTTGACAATAATTTAAATGAAACACTAGTTCAAGCAAAGCCTGGCAAGAGAAAATCCCCCAAGTAAGTAATGTGTTACTATGATTAGTTCAACTATGGTTATGAGTTTGAAGTGATTTCTCCAAGGAAAAAGGCACAGAGAAGAAGTAAAAAATGATAAAGAGTAACCCAACTAATTAATTGTAAATTTTCAATCTACGAGCTTGTTAATCACTTGAATCGTAATGCTTCCGAATGCACACTATAAGGGGTTTAAGAAAGGATGTTTCATTTTGCTCAATTTTACTCCTAATTCAGCTTAATTCCATAATTCACCTCATTGAAACCTCTAACATAACATTTGGCTTACATTCATTTTCATTTCTCATTCATTGGCCTCGAGACTTTATCCAAATTTCTAACTTTCTCTTTTGTCAGTCTCAGAAAACTTTCACTTTACAATTTAGTCTCTAAAAATCCTTATGTCTCTCCACAAAACCTCTAAAGCTTCTGCCAATAGGAGTCTCATAACCTATTCATTTCTGGCTAATTCTTGTATTTCTAAATCTAAAATTCAAGATGTTATAGTTTTTCCAAATCTAAATTTATTTCAATTCACCCTGACAATAAAATAGTTATGGCGAGGTAAGTATGGTTTTCAATCTTTAAAGAAATAGAAAAATTATCATTCTTCATCCTGAACTCTAGGAGGCTCGAAAGAGCCTTCCAACACTTCTAAATAAGAAGTGCACTTATTACTTTGACCGTTGACTTCGGGGAACCAGCTTAATAGCCCATGGGCTTACTGTTCCCTACATAATGTCAAAATATTATTTATTTTTAACTGATATAACATCAATATAAAACAAAACCATCTAACGTCACCCATTGAGGTGATTCTTCTTCTTCTAACACCACATATTCTTCTTATTCTAAATGCAAAACCCATTTTGAAATGTGAATTTACATTAAAGAATAGATTTTATATTTAAAACCGAATGAGTATTTATATTAAATATTTATTTTGCCGACCATTTATTTATATTAAATAATAGTAATTAGAAGCCAGAGACAAATTGTCAATGATGATTATCTCAAATAAAAGAAGCTTTCACAAGCGACATTTATTTCGCTGAGACCCAAACGCTCGTTTGTTTTTACTTTTCACTCGATCAATTCACTTTAACTGGCACCCAAAAAAAAAAAAAAGCCATCATCTTGATTCATGGGCATGCTTGATATAAAATACTCCTCCGGTCCTAATTATAAGACCCAATTGACTTATTTGAGGAGATTAAGGAAGTAAGTTAAGTTGGTTATTTATAATAAATAAGTGTTGTTATTCCTAAAATATCCTTGCTAATTAAGTATATTGGCTAAAACTATCATTATTAGAAGGATTATCTTGAAAAAAAATACATAAATATAAGAGAGAAAATGGATTGGGTCTTATAATTAGGACCAAATAAAAAGTCAAATTAAGTCTTATAATAAGGACCGGAGGAGTATTACAGGAATAAAAATAAAGGAAGGAAATAGAAATAGACAAGCTTTTTTTCAATCTTTTCCCAAGTTCCGTTTATACTTACCAAAGGCGTGAGCTCTTCTTAATTCTTGGTGATTATCTCCAAAGAAGGATCGCGAATCCATCGATATGACATGAATTATGAGTACTTGTCGCGAGGACACCAACCATCAAGACGAAGAAGCGACAGGATAGACCCACTTTCACCATACAAAACTAGGAGGGAAAGACGGTATATACTAAGAATAAAAGAACCAAAAACCAAAGTGCGGTGCAGGTCCCAAAAAGTCTCCGGCATATATACAAGACTGGAAGACACGCAATAAGGGGGAAAAAAATCATACTTACCACTCCAATTTGTGATCACTTTCTCCTAGGAAAATTTTCGGTGTAACTCGTCCAAATTGTGTTGACATCAGTTCACGTAATGTACAGAGGAACAAAACCGAGTTTTAAGCCCAGGAACGACACATAGGCTAAAGGAATGTAACTTTTGGCCAAAGGGGTGAAACTGAGTTTAAACCGAGGTTATTGCCATGACAACCTGTTCTCTTTCACATGTAATCAAATTCAACACCAGGATTCTGCATCCACAAAAGAAAAAAAAAAAGGAAGAAACCCTTTGAAAACTATGGAACCAAAACACCCAAATAATAGCCATATACTTGAATGTCATAACTGTAAACTGCTACTCTTTTGTAACCTTGGCTTCTGAAAATATATATCGCATAGTATATTCAAACACCCATGTTGTTTATATCTATTAATCAATTGGAGACTCGAAAACCATATCCTGCATCATTTGTGGGGAAAGCATTGTCTAAGGGGCAAACTCGTAAGGATATCTTTTTGAAAATCTAACATAGATGGGAATGATACAAACCTTATCACACACGGGACAGTTTTCACTTCTTTCCATCCATTCCAGAATGCAAGCAAGGTGAAAATGATGATCACATTTTGTGTTGAGTTTTGGATTCTCATCATCGTACTCTGAGGATAAAGAGAATTCATCAGTAACTTCTTAATTATAAGCAAAAGAACGGAGAAATAACATTAAAATGGTCAGGCTGACTAATTCCAACAGAAACAGCTAAAGAAGTTGAATGGAGAAGATGGGACAGCATCACCTTCTAAACAGATAGGACACACATCCTCCTCTTCAGCTAAAATGACAGGTTCATCTAGCTTTTGAAGTTCAATTTCTGAATCCTTAGCTGGGTCCAGTTCTAAATCACTCTGAACTTTACCCTCTAGTTCTTTCTGCTCTTCCAACTTGGTCATATTTCCATGACCATCACTAGTAACTATTTCTTCAGCTGAATTAGAATCTGTAGATTGAATGGATGTATTAGTCTTATTATCACTAATTTCATGAACCCCGGGTGGAGTTTGAGTGACAACCAAAGTAACGTTGCTGTAAGGAGCAGGGGCAGGAGGTGGTCTATAAGTGTCAGGACTTGAAGTTTCAAGGTTAGTATCAACAAGGAGCCCTCGGGAGAAAGCAGACGCAGAACCATGATTAGATGATAGAGGAACACGCTCCTCTGATGCTCTTGGCTGCTGAAGAAAATGCAGTAAATGAAGTCATCCATATGACCGTACGTATTTCATGGATCATATATAACCAATAGGCATTAGAAGAGAAGCAACAGAAAACTACTTATAAGTTCATAATCACAGAAGACTTGATAAGTTCAGAACTTCAGTTATGTAGTGAGAGTCAGAGAGTCTGCGAGAGTTGAATTCATGCTTGCATCAAAGATTTGTCAGACTTGGTTGTTTTGACTTTTGAAAATGAACATCCTTCCTCACATTATCAGACTTCGTTGTAGATGCTCCCAGACCTTCCGTTTTAAAGCACCGCCACAGCATGTATCAAACTGAGCGATACAGGGCAAATTGTTGTGCCCATTTTTTAGCTAGGAATGCAGACAATTAGGTAGGAAGGTGGTCGATGATGAAAGGAACATTTTCTAGACTGTTTCTTAGTCCTTTGTAAGCTTGTTATTTGATTATTGGACCTGTGCTTTATTTTTTTAGGGAAAAAAAATTCTAATCCTCATCATTGCATAATTTAAAGGAGATAAACTTTTCTTTTTCCTTCTACAGCAGTTTCAGATGAAGATGAAGCAGTCATAAATTATTATGATTTTCTACTGCCTTGGTAAGAATAAACTAAGCATAAAGTCATCAACGTTTTGGAGCAACAAAATATTACCCTTTGAGGGGAAAAAAAAGGAAATAAGGGATGAGTAGAAACAATCGGTATCAAATATGATGTATACTAACATAGAAGTACGCTGGTGGATCCCTCAGTTCGGTTTCTCTTGAACAACAGCAACAGCAACCGCCCATCTTCCCTTAACTGCAGGACACAAAGACAAATTTTAGATTCCGGTGATTGAGTTAAGCTTCATCAGCATTGAAACAGTCAAAATTGAGCGATACACAGATGCTAAAACGAATACGATCCTCATGTACCAATGATCATGCCAGGACGTTGTCACCTATATTCCGTCTCTCTCCTGCTCACATGAAAGAGTAATCATCCGTCCAACCGACCAAAAAACATCCCCAATTCATCAGGACTAATATCGAGGAATGCTCAACAAATGGTTTCCTCGCAGCAAGCAATCCAAAAGAGGAAGAAAAGAACTAACGGGTTCATGAGATAAAAGCGATGACACAGGCAGAAACGCACAGAGCAGAGTAAAATTCGATAGAATTTTGATCCGGGAAAGAAATAATTTGCAATTAAAAAGAAAAAACCAATATAGGAGACAAATTAAGTTTACACAAATGCATTCAAATACAACACCAGCAACCATCAATCATCAACTAAGCGACCAAAAAGAAAAATAAAAAACAACAACAGCAGATACGAAACAGCATAGATACTATTTATATTCAATTAGAAAAAGAGCAAAAGAACAACGATAAAGAGAAAGAGAAAGTAAGAAATACGTAAGTTGCAAAACCTAGCTAAGCAGAAGTAGCGAGGCCAATAAGTAAGATAAGAGGAAGACATGAAAGCAAAAGGCAACCGATCATTTCAAATTAGGAATATTCTGCGAGGAAAGAATGGATTGACAGGTGATTTCCTTACCTTGAGACAGAGAAATTACAGGATTCATGAAAGAACTGAATCGAATTGAGGGAGAAAGTTCGTTTGAGTAAGTTGCTTGGACGCAATAGGAAGGGAAGACCAACGGAGCGGGGTTTTGGATCTTTATTTATATGATACTCCTGAGAGTGCGAGCTACGTGTACTAAAGCCACTCCCAAAACTACTTTTCTACCTCCAGCATCTTCGATCACTCAGATCTCAGCCGTTCAATTCCCACGGACCCCACTTCTCGTCGGTCCCACCATCAGATAGGCGTTTCATATTTATCTGAATTATCTACGGAGTGCGCCCCATGTTTTCTCTATGGATTTTTATTTTTATTTTAATTTGCCTGACGTGTTTGATGGAAATCAGACTCCACTTACCATTGGAGATATTTACAAACTAAAGTTCTAAAATTACCTTCAGACAAAACAGAAAGTTGAAATCATGTAAAGAAAACTAAAATCTAAAATTGAGATTGCTTTTTTTTTTTTTTCAATTTTTGGCCATCGGATTGTTTATTGCATTTTGTCTATTAAAATAATTTGAGACTTAATAGCATTAGATATAAAATTAGATTTGATCACTATAGTTCTGAGAGATACGCACGAAACACGCAACGAGATTCCCGATTGTTCAACCAAACTTGACCTAGGTAACCCATATCTTTTTCTTAACTTTTTAAAATTTTGAGACTAAATTAAAAGATTATTTTTTTTGAGAAGAATAACTAGACAAAAAATAAATAAATTAACAAGGAAGAGACAAAATAAAATCTAAAAACGAAAGGAGAGAGAATGGCGGCGCCACAGGAACGCAGCCGGGTAGATAGATATAAAACACTAGGCAATATCATATGAACTAGGGAATCAACCCGATATTACAAAGGTCAGATTTGGTGTTGAAGGCTGACTCAGACCAGCCAGCCCGCCTACCAATCTCTGTGGAGTTTGAAATTAGTAACTAAGGTCTAAGGTTAGAGCTAATATATGTATATCATATTAATTAATTACAATCGCAAGTCATCGTCCAGAGTTGGAACTCAGCAGGTGGTGGGTGATCAACATTCCACAGTCTTGGGCCTCTTGGCTCCGCGAAGCAACTCTTTGATTACTGGTACCTCGTCCACTTTAAGCTGTGTACAAAAAGTAGCATCTCAAATCAGAGAAAAAGCAAAATCATAAAAGGGTTTTTTAACTGTGAGGGAGGTAGGAGTAAGACCAACCTGCAAAGCAAAATGACGCTGCACGGCTTTTACCATTTGTTCCCTGGATGGACTCGAATTACTGCTCAACTGCGATTTGAGAGATAAAGCCATGCTTCAAACATTACTGATACACATTTAAAAAGTGAGAATCCAATAAAAGGAGACTTACAAGTTTAAAATGCCTGCAGTATCTCCACAATGACTCTGTTCCCATATTTGCCAAGTTCACCCTCTGCATAAGGAAACTCAGCGTCAAATAGCATGCAGAGAGGCGTTTAGGTCTTGAAGACTGCTATAAACGGAATGCAGCAACTTCATATGAAGAGGGAAGACTAATATGAATCATGTGAAGGTTCCTTCAGTTATGTAGATTCAATTATGCAGAAGTACTCGTCATGTTTCTTACAGGGTGAGGAGCAAGAATAGAGTGGACTTCTCTGTAACTTGCACGATTGCTTGGCTTCGCAGATATAGAATGCACATAAGGCTTCGTATGTCTAACTCTTGGCTTGCTGGGCTTGTGAAACTCAATACTAGTAGCTGTTCAAAGGGAAAACAATGTTGATTTTAACAAGCAGTAAAAATTGAAACGGACTGTTGCTGAGACGTTACAAAGAGTTGGTCAGATAAAATGGAGGGGGGGCTTACAGAAATCGTTGTCCTTTTCATGGATTTCGGATCCACTGCTGGAGTTGTCGTAATCAAGATCATCTTCTTCGTTTCCGGTAGGGTGTTCTAGCACGCTCAATGCATTCCTTTGCAGCTTAACCTCAACCCCATTTTTCAAGACCTTGCATGTCAAAGCCAGAAAGAAATTAAGAGCTTTGCAGATGAATGAAGCCAGAAAATCAGGGATAAATTATAGTGTATCAAATTTAAGATGCTACAGTAAGACCAATCTTTTTCTCCCCATTCCTTACATATCAGAGATCAAGTAAGGATACCTGCTTAGCAGGAGCAGGTGGTCGTGGTGAATCTCTAACAGGTAAGATAAAAGTCATATCATCTCCTACTCCAAATTAGAATCTCATCTAATTTTGAGATAATAACAATAATTATTTGACAGATAATGAATAATTTATAATTATCTTATATTTAATTTTAAATTTAACATTATTAATCTGAATTTAATATTTATCTCTTTACATGCAGAGATAAATCCAACAGTGAGCAACTCCTAATAAACTCCGCCGCACAAGGAACAAAAAAGAATTACAAATGTAAAAGCTCTACATAGAATAATATTAATTTAGCACAAAAGAATGGTAAGAAAAATTACTAACTTCCAAACTTAATTACAGGCAACAGAAATGATAAATCCTAACCTTGCTAAAATACCACGAAAAACTAATCCCAGCAGAATACTGGAATATGAAATTTATGGACTCCTACTAATCATAAATTACTCATGCAACTAGTTATAAAGTTACATTCCTAGAAACAATAGCTTCTGATATCTAAAAATAATACAGCAAAACCAATAATCCTCCTTTAAACCGAAATCCATCCATCTCTCTCTGATACGAGATAGATACCGCCAAAATTGAATATTAAATTAGTTTCACAACATTAAACATAGAATAGTTTCTTAGACGTAACTTACCTTCGCTAAACTTCTTGTACTGTGTGTTAAACTTCTGTTTAGAAGATTTAGCGGTGGACAGCAATTGATTTCCACATTACAAGTCACAACACATAACATGGAACAAAACGAGTAAAGATGAAAATTTCTGCTCTCATATTTCCTTCGTAATTACACAAGTAGAAGTTAGAAGTATAATTAGAAGGGCAGTAAAAATATATACCAGCCAGTGCCAACCTCCGAGACCAACAGCTTTCTTGACGACGCCTTGCAGTCCAACTAGTACAGACTTGGTTCTATTGTTGCCAGTGACTATAACTTTAGTGTGCCTAGGAAGAACCGAAAGTTCTTCGTCTCCACTTTCCTCGCGGAAGGGTGATAATACTCGGGAAGAGCATAAGTCAGGCTCCAGCATTCTTACCGTTTTATCCAAGTCCGCAGTTTAAATTACAACGTCGAGATTTCAAACATAGAACCTGAATGCCAGTCTCGTCCAAACTCAAAGACCGCTCAAATTTTTGGATTTCAGACGGGGTAATGATTGCTAATCAGCTGGTAGTACGGAAGGATATGACTAATCAATATAATAATATTCCTTCATAAATTGCCTTTCACAAAAGCTTCATTCTTGCTCAACCGGACTTGCATGCAATTGAAACCTACTGTGATTCCAGCACCAATCGTTCGGCGAGATCAAGTCCCTAAATCCATAGAAATGAACAGAGATAGAAAGAGGAAGTTAATTTAGCAATCAACCAACGAAAAGAAGAAAAATATATAAAGTGATTAGGAGAGGGAGGGGAAGAGAGAGAGAGAGAGAGAGAACAGTTTCGCGATAGATTTTTTGAAAAAGATGAATACTGTTTTGGTGCTCAGAATTAGGGAAGTGTTAAATGCGAAAGGTATCCAAGGAAGATACACCCCAATCTCGCTCACGGACTCAGATCCGCGACAATGAATGCAGCAATGTTGGGGTTCATATCAAAAAAATAGACTAATCCTTACAAGTAGTTAAATTTCACAGATTAACAAAGTAGGACATGGAAATAATTATCGAGTTGTGAGTACGATTCCTGCAAACAAGAAGTAATCAAAATTTTATTCATTTTTTTCCTTCAGAAAAGTCGCATGACGTATCCAAAATTAAGAATTTATAATCCCACGCATACAATAAAAGATACGCAATCACAAATAAAAATTCATCAAAACAGAAAAGGAGGCTTCTTCTATTTTCTTCCCGCGATCAATATAACCTGAAAGTTCTCGGCTTTCTTCGAAAATGCAGGAAAGCTGGGAAAAGAATTTGAAATTCGAATTCGAAAGCTTCCGATAAGTGAATGCAGCGAGCGAGACGCACACACATAAGTTGAGGTGAAGTAGCAGCAGGTTATTGTAAACGTGATGCAGTTGATTATTATTATCCAGTAAAGGAAACAAAGCACAAGATGAAAGAAAGAAGGAAAAGCCATTAAACTGAACCAAGAAGTATCTTTAATCTTTAATATTGAAAAGCTCGGAAGAAAATTGAAAGTGTGATTAAGATCAAGTGTGAGTGAGAAGCAAGCATAGCAGAATTAAGATTAGAAAAAGGAAATTTTGAATTGGAGAAAAGAAAATGAGAAGAAAAAGCGAAAGAGGGTGAAGAAGAACGTACCGGTAAGGAAAGAGAGAGGTGGATTTCAATCGGAAAAGGAGGAAAATGACCAGGAAATCTGGAAATGGATGCGAGGAATAAGAATGAGTTGAATTATAGAACGAAGGAGTGTAGAGAGTTAGAGTGATTAATATTATTTTATTACTATTGCGTTGATTGAGAGAGAGGGGGGAGAGAGAGAGAGAAGAGGAGGAGGAGGAGGACACACTATAAATGCGTACCAACTGCCATGGGAACGACCTGCCATGTGCCGTACGGTCACTACTTTATGACCGGTTGAGCCGGTACCACCCCGGTGATTGGAGTGTTGGAATGCAGCGCTAAACGGCTCGGCTTAGCGGGTTAACGGCGCGGGGGGTTTTTGTCGTTCGTGGGAGCGCATGGCTTTGCACGGAACAAAGGCGCACGCATGCTATTACTCAGTCCTGGGAAAAATATGAAATCGTGCCCATCCTTATCCATTTTGCATCCTCTTTCCAGCAAAATTTCAAATTATGATACTAGTGTATTATACTTACAGTTGAGCTTGTACTATTTTCCGTTCTGGCTGTCAGATGTTGCAGAGATTTTTCTTTTTACAAAAGCAAATCAAACACCATGCATGAAAAAATTTGAAATTTGTTCATTGGATCTCTTTCCACGAATGAAAAAATTAATTGTACTAATATACCCTTTTTAATCTTGACTACCTTTGAGTTGAAACTCCCTTAATATATGTAATCAATAAAAATACTTTAAAAAAAATATTATAAACTTAGGAGATAAAATAAATTAAGATAATATAATATCAAACCAGCTCTTATATTAAATATTAAAACCCCATTGTGGCCCGCAAATTAGACTAAACAATTGCTTAAATATTTGATAATAAGATTCAGAAAATACATCATAATAATAATAAGAAGAAGAAGAAGAAATGTAGTGAGTGTGTGTGTTACATGTAAATACACTTGGCTGACCTAAATTTGGAGCAGTCCAACTCAAAACAAAAAATGGAAGCAACGTGACGGGTTTCATGAAAGCCCGCTTAAATTTGTAGACCACAAAAATTAATTTTATTTTGACATCCGAGTCTCTTGGAAAAAATTTTTACCTGCAAAATATTTTGAATAGAATTACTTTTACTAATAATAATAATAGGTGGAGCTGTAGAAGGGTAATGCGTGAAAGTCGCTAAAAACATGAACATGACAGTAGGATAATGATTGGTATAAGTATATCCCTCCAATGCAGGAAAATGGAGGAAGTAGTGCACAAGTCATGACTATAACCGTCATTTCAACGCCTCATTTTATACTGAGAAAATGACCAAAAAAATTAAAAATTACTAAATACCAAATAAAAAATATCAACAAAAATTTATTATTATTTGTAAATTCTTTCAACACCAAATAAATAAAGTAATGTTATTAAATCTGATTTAAGATTTAATAATTTCTAATTTTTGTTTTGTCATTTTCCCTTCGATGTTCACACTGTATTGAAGCCTTTAATTTGGCTCGGCGAGGCTGAGATGAAGAGCACCCTTTCAAGGCATTAGGGTGATTTATAGGCTGCTACTTAATTGTGATTGGCAACTCTTTTTTGCAATTTTTTTAAATTGAGTTTATAAGTGGCACAAAATCTCTTTTTTTACAATCTTTTTAAATTGAGTTTATTTATAAAATAAAAAAACTTCCTTCCCTCCCCTTGAACACATCATAGCCACTGGTTTTTATAGTTCCTTTTTAGCTTCTTACCCATACGAAAACAAAACTCCATATTTCTCGCATGGTACCCAAATAGTGAATGAATGATTCATACATGTGTATACATGTTCACAGCTCATAAAAGCCCATATATATTGTCGAGCCCCCAGCCTTACTTACGTTTAGTTATTTAAAAATTTAAATTACGATAATGTGCTTTATTTGGATGAAAAATTTGTATAAAAATATTCTAGACCTATAATTCCTTTTATGGGTGTAATTCAGGATATTCTCATAAGTCATTTCGAATTTTGGACTAATTATTGTCAGCTTGTAAGTTTTTAAAGTTAAAATTCTTCCCAACAAATATATTTTTCAAGATTTGAACTTGGATTATATTTTTTATTGAGACGATGATAACTTAATGTCTTAAATAATAACTTGCCGGTCAAGACCTATAATTCTCTAACATGCTTGTTGTGACCAGCATTTGTCAAGGAAAATGTCGGCATTATTACTTAATAATTTATATTATTATTTTATTACGGGCATATACTCACTTAGTCATCGTCAATTAAGACTTATTAACTACTTTTTTGTCGGGACCTATTGAACACTTTAGGTCTATTAAGAAAATGAGACAGTTAAAAGCAATCAAGTGCAAAAAATACCATAATTTCGCAAAATTACCCATAATCAAGCTAGGTGAGTGATAGGATAGATGATTAAAAACGCGCGGTGGTAAAGAATTTTTGAGAATGATGTATAGGAATAGTCAAGGAATTAGTTTTGATACTTTACTTTATTTATTACGCTTATATTTTTTTAAATTAATTTAACTAATTTATAAACTGATATGTAATACTCGTATATTATTACATGGAGAGGATTATTCATATTTAGTTTTTTAAATATACCAAAATGAATCAAGTAACTGTTCCATTAATAATAGGATAAATATTTTGTTAACTTTTGTAAATGGCCGAACATTATGGATTATTCTAAGAATATCTCTTATAAACATTATGGGAAGGGGTAATATTCACGAATATAATATTTGTACATAATAATAAACAAGGTTAATATATTTTTTTGTCCTTGAAATTTGAGTTTATTTTTGTTTTAATTTCTCAAATTTCAAATCTATAATATTAGTTTCTGAAATTTGGTTCATTTTAAAATGTTAGTCCTTGAAAGATTAACAGTGTTAAAATCTACTAAAGTATCATAGACAATATTAAAATAAGAATGTAGATTCACTATATGGCACGTAGCTAGATTTTGTGAGGTTAATAGAATGGGAAAAAAAAGAACACATCCTCAAAATACAGCTCTTTAGCTTCCTATTTTTTCTTCCCCGCTATTCATTTTCAAGAGCTGTTTACTGAGCTGCACTCTATTATCCACATAAGACCCAGTTAGGTCTCATGTGATGAATTCACCACTTTTAACTTCATTGACGACATTTCAACTGATCTTAACATCATTACACTTTCAGGGACTAACATTTTAAGACAGACTAAATTTTAAGGATTAAAATCACAAGTTTAAATTTTGAGAGACCAAAACTAAAACAAACTCAAATTTCAGAGACAAAAAATTATATTAACCTTAAGAAACAGCTTACTTATGAATTATCAATAATGTAAGGATCTATAATTGAGGTTAAGATATATTTGGATTAGTTTTTTTAAAGTAATTTTACGATACATAAAATAAAGGGAAAATTCCAAAAAAGGTCATTGGAATATGGGAAATGCCAGATTGGGTCCTTAAATTTCGAAAATGACAGGATGGGTCATTGACCCAATCTGTCATTTGTAAAATTCAGGTGAATTGACAATTTTGCCCTCATTTATTCATTCACTACAATGATTCAAGAAATCACTATAAGAGTTTAGGTGTTACCTAGATTCGTGTAGCGAATAACTACTCACTTTTTTATAGTCAGATGTCTTGTTATTAACTACAACTAATTCTGTAATCACTAGAACAATGTAAGCATTACCTAGATTTGTGTAGAGAATAACTACTCATTTTTTCATAGTCAGGTATCTTATTATTGCCAGGTACCTTGTTATTAACTACAACGAATCTTGTAATCACTATAACAGTGTAAGCATTACCTAGATTTGTTTAGAGAATAACTACTCACTTTGCTCAGGGGAAAAATGTCAATTCGCCTGAATTTCACAAATGACAGATGGGTCAATGACCCATTCTGTCATTTTTGAAATTTAAAGACTCAATATGAGATTTAGTATATTCTAAGGGCTTTTTCTGAGATTTTTCCTAAAATAAATATGTGGGAGAAATTTGTTCTATAAAAACACTTTCTTAAGCCTGATTTTACTTTTATTTTTTAAATATAAACAGAAGAGCTATGACAAGATAAAACAAGGCGGGAGAGCCGACGAAATAAGTGCGCCGGTTTGGGGCGCTGAGCCATGCGAGAAACCACGTGTCACCCGCGAGAGAAATAGGAAACAGCTTAAGTTTCATAAATAAATCACATGCAACTAAAAAATAAAAAACTGAGTTCATTTTAAGATATACTCCTCCTCTAGTAATTATAATAAGATAAAAATAATAATTATAAAATAAATCTTAAGAGTTATTATTTTTTTACTCTAAAACTTGTAATTCAGACTGTTTAGATTATTATTGAGATTTTTTAGTAATTATTTTTCTTTTCTGAGACCTCATTATAATTTGCTCTTTTATTTATGAGTCACTTTTAACGTGTTTTATATAAGTCAAGAAAAAATTTCTCTCGCTGTCCTATAAATAGAATAAAAAAATATCTTCTCTCTGTCTTATAAATAGAATCAGGAAAAATTATTTTCAGTTTTTAATATAAAAGCAAAATCTAGTTGATTAATTTGAAGAAGCTAAGAAAGCTACTAAATTATTTTAAAATATTTATATTTATTATTTTTTCTAAACTAATATGACTCATTTACTATAAATTGATATATAATCTAATGATATATATAAATATTCTAGAGATATTATGTAACATGTGTTATAATTAAGTAAATACTAGTAAATAACTTTCTTAATCTCTTCGGATTACAAGATGGAGGATTACAGATGCATGCTTAAGCAAATTTTAAGGACATCCGAGAAATAAATTATGGAATAAGAAAATTTTCAGTAAATTTCACAAATTTGAATTGTTTTTTCTTGGATTATTAACACTTGGCCCATACTAACTTTTTCGTAATCTTGCTCTTACATAGTTTTTTTTTTTTTTTTTAACGTGGCTTGCTCTTGCGTAGTTACGCATGACGAATCTTGTGAGAATTTTCTCACGAAAAGGTTAAATACTTAAATTATACTAGTAATTATTAAACTAAAA